TCGTCGTCGTCGTCGTCGTCGTCGTCGTCGTCGTTTTCGTCGTCGTCGTCGTCGTCGTCGTCGTCGTCGTCGTCGTCGTCGTCGGGGGGCGGTCCCCTGCCTTCTTGGGCTTGTGGCCCCTCTGGGGGGGGGGGGCGTTTTCGACAGCGGCCGCATCTCCCAGGCTCACGTCGCCTGAGGAGGTGCCAGGGCGGACCATTTTGTGAAGTTGCCGCCCGCTCATTCCGTCCAGTCGTGTCGGGCAACTGGTGTGGCCACATGCAGGGGCCAAGAGGCGCGACACTGTCCCGGCCGCGTGGCCGATACCTCTTCCGCCAAGGTGTTGCAGGAGTGCCGAGCTCTATTCGAGTCCGTGTCAACCGCCGTGTGCTCCTCGGCGGATGCGCCCTTCTGGCCTCCTGGTTCCTGTTCCCCTTCTTCCTCCTCCTGTGCACGTGCTGAGTTCGTTGCCCCGCTCCTGCTTCCCTTCTGGAGCGTCCGTGGCTTCTTTTTGTTTTTTTAATGTTTGGTTTGGCGTTGCCCCGCGCTTTTCCTACCCCTAGTGCCCTCTCGTGCGCACTTGGGCTAGGCTGCGCGCTGGCGCGCCTGCCTGGGTGACAGCTGCCCATGCGATCGCTTACCTGATGAGGTAGCCGTTTCGCGGGGTTTCGGCCGTCGGCCATTCACTTGTAGTCACGTCTAGTCGACCTTGCAATTCTGCACTGTCTTCCTCTATGCTTTAGTTTTTGTGTCTGGCCTGCCATTGGAGCCTCATGCTGTGATTTGGCGTCCAGTCCGTTCCTTCCGCTCTTCCTTCCTCGTTGTCTTCCGCATCCTCTCGCTCTCCCGCTGGCTTCCTTGTTTGTGTACGCATCTGCTCGCGAGGGCCCATTGTGCGGGTGCCGTCCAAACGGAGTGGTCTGCGCACGCGCGAGTGCACGGCTACATAATACCGTATTTATTTCAGGCTCGTTTTTTCCCTAAGCTGCGAAGCTGTCCCTCTCGCTTCTCGGCCTCCTCGGCCTTCCCCGCCGTTCTTCTTTTCCTGCTGCCGCTGTTGTTCCTCCTCCTCATCACACTTTTCTGAGTGGGCGTGCGAGGTGTTCGGCTTCCTCAGGCACCCTCTTTTTGAAATGGAGGTGGCCCAAGCGCCCAAGAGTCTCGTTGGGTGCGGCGCCTTGCGGAGCAGACCGGCGCGATGTCTGAGTTTTTCCCTACCTAGGCTCTGCCTAGAAGGGTTCTTACTCTCTTAGCTTAAAGGGGCCAGGCAGTGCACAGCGCCCCGGGCGGTTCCCCCAGTCCCCACCCCGCGGTTCCCCCCAGTCCCCTGGGAGCTTTAGCTTTAGCTTTAGCTTTAGCTTTAGCTTTAGCTTTAGCTTTAGCTTAGCTTTAGCTTTAGCTTTAGCTTAGCTGTAGCTTAGCTTTAGCTTAGCGTTTCGCTTAGCGTTTCGTTTAGCGTTTCGCTTAGCGTTTAGCTTAGCTTTAGCTTAGCTTTAGCTTAGCTTGAGCTTAGCTTGAGCTTAGCTGTAGCTTAGCTTTAGCTTAGCTTTAGCTTAGCTTTAGCTTAGCTTTAGCTTAGCTTTAGCTTAACTTTAGCTTAGCTTTAACTTAGCTTTAGCTTAGCTTTAGCTTAGCTGTGGCTTAGCTTTAGCTTAGCTTTAGCTTAGCTTTAGCTTAGCGTTACTGTTACTACTAATGCTGCTTTCCTAGGGCTTCCAACTCCTAGGTAGGGTCGCACTGGGATATTTTTTTCAAAAAAAGAGAGGCGCAATTCATTGTTATACGATTGCGCTTTGACGGGTTTTACTTTTTTCGGCCTTTTAGCATCCCGATGCTCCAAGACGGCCCAAGAGGCTTCCAATACCGCTCCAATATACAGGAAGAGGCCTCCAAGAGGGCCCCAAGACGGCCCGCGAGGGCCCCAAGACGGTGCGTGAGGCGCCCAAGACGGCCCGAGAGGGCCCCAAGAACCCCAAGAGAGACCCAAGAAGGGTAACGCGACCCAACAGCAGAGCGTTCCCCCCAAAAGCCCCACAGGAGGCCGCAAGAGGCCCTCGGGTGGTCCGACGAGGACGCCAAAAGATTCCCGAGGGCCCAAAAGGCCCTTAGGAGACGTCCAAGAGGTTTTAAAATAGCCCAAGAGTGCCCTCGATGCGTCAAAACTGCTTCCAGGAGGCCCCCCGGGAGGCTTCTGGATTGCCTCAATCCGGCCGCAGGTGGCCTCAAGTCGGGCCTCCACGCAGCCAAGACGGCCAATGACGGCTTCAGATTGCAGAGCCGATGCCCCCAAGGGACCCTCAGACGCCCTCCCAAGAAGCACCCAAGAGGTGCCTCCAACAGCCAGTTGACGAAGCATGCGGAACACCCCAGAAGCTCCTCAGATGCCGTCGCGCGCCTGTGCTTGATAGCGTTGTCCAAGATCGTCCAGCGCCCCCCCGGCCTGGGCTAGAACCTGAGCGCGCGCTCAGGATGGCCTGGACAGTATGCCCAGGCCCGGGCATACTGTCCTGAGTCCTGAATGGATGAGCATCTCACCCAAATCCACAATTCTCGGATTCCTTGGGGCCTTCGGAGACTCCGCGACAACGTTAAGAAGCCGGGAGGCGCGGTACCGGCCAGTTGTCAGGGGATATGTAGGACCCCCGAGTAGGAGTTCTACTTTGATGGAAAGATATAGGATTTTGTCCCTACCTAGGCTCTGCCTAGAGGGTTCTTACCCTGGATCTTAAAGGGGCCGGGCAGCGGAACGCGCCCCGGGCGGTTCCCCCGGCATCCGCCCCGCGGTTCCCCCAGTTACGTCTCCTTAGCTTAGCGTTGTTTATCTCATCTTATCTTAGCTTATTTCATCTTAGCTTAGCTTAGCTTCATCTTAGCTCTGGTGTATCTTAGCTTAACCTACCATCATCTTAACTTCGCTGAGCTTTAGCATAGCAGAGCACAGCATAGCGTAGCATAGCGTAGCATAGCATAGCGCAGCACAGCATATCATATCATAGCCCAGCACAGCATAGCACAGCGCAGCATAGCATAGCATAGCATAGCGCAGCACAGCGCAGCACAGCATAGCACAGCGCAGCAGAGCGCGCGCCTGTGCTTGACAGCGACGTCCAAGATTATCCATCGCCCCCCCCGGCCTGGCCTGGAACCTGAGCGCGCGCGAAGCGCGCGCGATAGTTCTAGTACATAGATCAACGGAATAGATAGAACATTGTTTTTGTATGTGTATTTTCATTTGCATTTGTATGTGTATATCTATATGTATACGTATTCGGATATGTAATCTAATTATCAGTGTGAGGGGGCCGAACGGTCATTCATTGTCCCTGGGTGCGTGGCGTAAGTGCGGATCCGTGGTGAGGATTCTGCTTGTTGCGTTGTTCTTGTTGCTTTTGTTGTTGTTGAACGAGACTGGTTTGAAGGTCGCCCCCCCCAGCAATCAGCAACCCAGCACTCCCCCACTCCCGAACGGCCTTGGCCCCCCCCCCCCCCCTTGGGGGTGGGCTACGCTTCGTCCCTATGTATATGTCTATTGTTTCGCATATGTATATGCATTTGTGCACGGATATGTTTATGCATATGTGTATTTGTACGTATAGATATATGTGTATCTGTGTATGTCTTTGTCTATGTACAGTTCTATGTGGAGGTGCAGGTATGGGAATTGATACATGTGTATGTATGTATGTGTCGTGTACGTGTACGTGTACGTTGATGCATATGTGTATGTGTAAGTGCATGGGTACGGGTATGCGTCTGTGTATGCATGTGTATAAGTGTATGTGTATGTGTGTATGTGTGTGCGTCTGTGTATGTGTCTGTGTAGGTGTACGTGTACGTGTACGTGCACGCGTATGCGTATGTGTATATGTATGTGCATGTGTCTGTGCATGCGTAGGTGTGTATGTGTATGTATGTAGTTGTGTATGTGTATGTGTGTATGTGTACGTGTAGGTACACGTGTACGTGTACGTGTCCGCGTCTGCGTATGTGCATGTGTATGTGTATGTGTATGTACATGTGTATGTATATTTGTATGTGTATGCGTAGGTGTGCATATGTGAGTGTGTACGTGCATGTGTATGTTTGCGTGTATGTGTACTTGCATGTGTATGTGTATGTGAATGTGTATGTGTACGTGTATGTGTAAATGTATGTGCATACGTATGCGTATGTGTATGTGTATGTGTATGTGTAGTATATGTGTATGCGTATGTGTGTGCATGTGTGTATGTGTGTATGTGTGTATGTGTTTATGGGTATGTGTACGTGTATGGATCTGTGTATTGTGTATGTGCATGTGTATGCACATTTGTATGTGTATTTGTATGAGTATGTGTATGTGTGTATGTGTACGTGTATATGTATATGTATTTGTATGTGCGTATTGTGTGTATACATACAGGAGTTGATACATTGTGTTAAGCTGTATGTGTACAGTCGGAAATTACGAAGGTCCGTTCATTCCTCCCGCGGGATGGTGCTACAGTGCAGCTCGGGACTGGCGGGCGTGATCGGTCGGTGGATGAGGAAGCCATTGCACGAGGCGTGATCGAGTTTGAGGGTCGGAATGGGAAGCAGGGTGAACAGGGCGGATGAGGAACAGGGTCCGGAGGAAGAGGGAATGATGGTCGAGGTGCGAGAAGAAGCAGACTGAGGGGAGAGGGGACATGGGAAACAAAGAGGTATGATGTAATGGGGGGGGAAGCCGGGAAGGAGCCGGGAAGGCAGGAATGAGGGAATGGAGAAGGGGATGCGGCCAGGAAGGGGAAGAGGAATGCGTGGGATGGGCATCAAAGGAATCCGCGAGATACGCATCAGGAGTGTGTAAGAGTCGCCCAGGACACTGAGGGGCCTATCTGTCAAGCCACGGTGACCTCGATGAGGAAGGGGAATTCAGATTGAGGACAAATCGGTGGCCGAAGCCCGTCTGGAGAAGAACGATCATCAGAAGCAGCAGGAAGAGGCAGCTTAAGATCTCCTGGTGCGATGCAGGACGGTCGTGCACATTTTTGCCGGGTGAGGTCTTACAGATTTGCCGTGGGAGTTCTGCAGACTTGATTCTTCACGGTGGCGACCTCTTCCACGAGAACAAACCGCAGCGTGGTCTTCTTTTCTTCTTCGATGCGAACCAGTTGAGTCGAGAGACCTGGCATCAAGCGGATTGCAGCGGATGGATCAGAAGGTTTGTCACAAGGGATTGCTCTAGTATCGTGGACGTGAATACTGCGTGTCGGCGTGAAGGGTATTCCAACTCGCAGCACGAGGAGATGACAACCACGAGGAGGAGGAGGAGTAGAAGCAGGAAGATGAGGAGGGTGTTTTCAGAGCGGATGTGCGTGATTGGTCTTTGTGTGAGCGCACGTGAGCGTGATTTGATGCGTAGGGCTCTGCAAGCTAGCTAGGAGCGAGCGGACACATGAGAAGTCGCGAGGACAATATTCGCCCCGCTTGGCCCCCTGCCCCTCCCCTACTCATCCGTGTCCTCCATTCCTCCTTGTCTTCCCCTCTTCCCGCCTCTTCCGCCTGCGGCGGACTTTTGAGGGCTAGCGAGGCCACGACTTGTGGATGGAAGAAGGTGGCAGGCTGGTCAGAGACGAGGCGGCGGCACTGCCTGCCCGCGACTGCGAAGCGCCTCGGAGGTGGCGACTGAAGGAGGGGAAGAGAGAAGACCAGCCGAGGGATGGAAAGTCAACTAGGAGTACGAGCCAGCAGCGTCAGACATGCCCATGTTGCCGGTGCCAGTATCGCAGGCGCCACGCCTGTTTCTTAGTTTTTTGGGGTTTTCCGAAGCTGGACTGCAGTCGAGCTTATTGAGCTGGAACCAATGGAAACAAGTTGACCAGCTGATGGAGGGTCCCAGCAGCCCGCTGAAGCAAAAAGTGGGAGAGCCTGACAAACCTTGCGCGTGGCCCAGCCAGAAAGTCGACTTGCCCCACAGATACCCTTGTTGTGCGGGGGTGTCTTGTCCCGAGGAAGGGCCTATGCTTCCTCGGGTTACTCTGCCAGCACGCCCTCGCGCGTCCAGGCGAACCGCACAGAAGGCACTGGTGAGATGCCCCGCGCGCTGTCCACTGCGTCCAGAAGGCGCGCTGGCTGCTCGTAGTCTCTGTCGTCCTGCTTGGGCGCAGGTAGCAAGGACAGAAAGTTGACGTAGTCAAGGGTCCGTTCGCTCTGCTCAGGGCGGTGTTCTGGATCAGTCTGCTCTGCCAACAAGGAGTGCAGGATGCGAGTGGAGAGGCTGGGCACTGCGCGGTCGTGGGTCCGCTCGTAAGCCTGGATATGCTCGATGCTCCGATGCCGTGCGAGATCGACGGCCTTCGTGTCGTCCTGCGCCGCGGCCGCGGAGAGACTTCGCCCCTCGAGCACTATTCAGGCCGTCCCTCTGGCGGCTTGCCCGCACGGGTGGAAGCCCCTACAGCGTATTCGTGCGAACATTTTCTCCAGCTGTATCGTGTCTTACTTGTCCTGGGCGACCTGGCCGTCGTTGACTTTGCGATCACCTCCCAGCTGCGGGGCGACCTCTTTGGAGAGGGAACGCTGTGTGGCGCTCCTGTCTCACATCTCGCGCATCCGCATCATCATCATCATCATCATCATCATCATCATCATCATCATCATCATCATCATCATCATCATCATCATCATCATCATCATCATCATCATCATCATCATCATCATCATCATCATCATCATCATCATCATCATCATCAGCATCATCATCATCATCATCAGCATCATCAGCATCATCATCATCAGCATCACCATCAACATCAGCATCAGCATCAGCATCAGTATCAGTATCATCATCATCATCGTCACCATCATCATCACCATCATCATCATCAGCATCATTAGCATTATCATCATCACCATCCTCGATATCATCATCATCATCATCATCATCATCATCATCATCATCATCATCATCATCTTCATCATTGTCTGCATCATTTGCATCACCATCACCGTCATCGTCGTCCTCCTCCTCCTTATCATCGTTCCTCTGGGCACGCACCACCTCCTCTTTATCATCATCGTAATCAGCAACATCAACATCGTCATCATCATCTCCATCAGCATAATCATCATTCCCATCACCAGCATCATCATAATCATCATCATTGTCTACACTATCTGCTTTCCACTGTTCGTCCGCATCCCCTGCTACCACCCACTTTGCAGATGGTTTTTTATTTGAATTTCTATTTCATCGCACTCTTATTCGTAACCTTCGGGCTTGCTCTCATCCCTTTATCCTTCCGAGCCGCGCTTGCATGTTTTTCAGCCACCTCGCGATCAAACCATGGGGTCCCCTAAGAAAGGGACCGCCGCTTACCAGCGCAAGCTGGCAGCGAACAAGGTTGCTTAAGCAGCCGCGCGCGCTGCCGCTCAACGGCTGCGCGCGGCAGCGGCAGAGTTCCGCAACCAGGCGGGCGAGCTTCGGACCATTCGGGACAGCATCGACTCCCAACGTGCCGCGCCGTGCCGTGTCGAGATCTGTGCCGCTTGCCGTGCTTTGTCGGGCGCTGAGCCGTGCACGATGCCGTGTGCCGTGCGGCGTGCCGTGCTGAAGGTCACGTAGCGTGGGGAGTTGCGTGGTCCCACTGGAGGCGCTCCAACCAGCACGTGCGGGCTGCCAAAAATCATAATGACCAGAACAATGACTTCAAGAGAGCAGAAACGCTTGACAGGAGGCCAGTATCTGGAAACAAAGGCTCACCTGGACGGGCATGGGCGTGCAGCGCTAAAACTCGCGAGTGCGCTGGTGCGTGCCGTGCTCCGTGCACGTGTCGCGACGAGCCTTCAGGTGCCACGTTGGGTGCCGTGGGTCGCGTCGCGTGCTGTGTCGAGCCGCGTGCCACGCGCGCTGCGCGAGTCTCGGGTTGCACGCTCCGCAAGGAGGAGGAAGAGACGCAAGGAAGAAACGAACGAGAGGGGCAAGGCGCTCGACGACAAGAACGCAGAGTTCCGCAACACAAGGGACACCTTGACCCAGGTGCAGAAAACGCTGAGCAAGACGGAGGCCAGGCTGCGCGAGGTAGAGAACAGCTGGGGCTGAAGCGGCGCGGGCACCCACTTTTCTTCCCGGACATCCGAAGAACGGATGCCCCCGCCTTGAAGCCCCTTTTCGGGCATCCGTATTTCGGTCGCCCACAAGAAGAAAAAACATCTTTGTCCAGCCTCCGCGTGTTTCCTCTTCCTTTGCTGCTTCTTCCTTTTCCCCTTGCCCCCTCTGTCTTGTCTTCCTCTTTATTTTCTCTCCTTTGCCTGTCCATAAGTCTCCTTCCTCCTCCTCCTCCTCCTCCTCCTTCATTTCCATGCATTTCTCACCCCTCCACAGGCTGGATAAACTCGTGTAGACCCGACAGGGGATTCGGGGGGGGGGGCTCCTGCGAGGAACTTGGGAAAGGGACCCGACAAGGGGCACAGAAGACACGCCAGGCACAGAAAACAACGAGGGGCCAGCGAGGGACCCACCAAGGGACGCCCAAGAAGGAATCCTGCACGGGACTCGGGAGGGGGGCCCGACAAGAGACACGGGAAGACACACAAGGAACAGGAATCAACGAGGGGGCCAGCGTAGGCCCGACCAGATGCACAGGAAGGCACCCGACAAGGATCAGACATCGCCGTGGACAGCCTGGCCAATTTGCAATGGCGCTCCGTTACGCGCCTGTTCTTCCGCCGCTAAACTTTCTCCTTCGCGCGAAAATGGCCGCGAGATGCGGCGAGTCTGGCGCTGTCGAGTGGATGGTGCGCGTGAAGAGCGGATGCGTCCACGCGGCGCAGCAGAGCGAATATTGCGAGGTACCTGGTCAGCCCCTAGCGATGCGCGTTGCGCCTGGCCGTCGCTTCACGGCCGCACAGTGGGCCAGCCAGTGTGTTGGGCAGTCAATGAGGTCAGCTACGGCATGCGCGGCCACGTCATCCGCGCGAGCAGCCACTATAATGGGGATCGCTTGCTCGCGTCATTTAAGAGAGTGAGATGCCGCGGGGCGTTGAGCGCCATATCTACCCGTCGCCAATCAAGGGGGCAGAAGGCGCGCTGGGCAACTTCCATTTTTGCCGAGGCGTCCACTGGCTGCGACGTATTCGCCGAGCCGCAATTGCACGGTCACGCGGCGTGGTCGACCGTGTTCTTTGCAATGAACAGCGCCTGCCTTTGGGCCCGCGCATTGGCAATGTCATATGCGGCGTGAAAGGCATCGTGGTGGGTGAGGGCGCTGCTTTCGCGGACCTGCCTATGAAAACCGACGGGGACGACCGCCGCGCGCGGAAAAGCGCCGTGCCCGTGATGCGCCCGAACCACGGCCGCCAGGCAGCGTCGGCTTTCGGAGCGCGCCCCGCCATCCAGGATGACGCCGTCGGGTGCTGCGATATGGTCGAGGGCCCTTCGCTGAGGGTGGTTGACATCGACGACCTGCCCAATGCCGTGGTGAGGAAAAGGCGCCCAGAGGCGGCCTGCGCGTTCCCTGAGATCACATGTCCAGTGCGCCTGTTCTTCGCGGCGGTGCTCTTCGCCGCCGTTGAGTCCAGCGCCAAGAAGGAATGCGACGACATGTGTCTAGCAACTGCCTTGAGGAACCTCGGGCGCAAGGTCAAACTTGACGGGGGTGGGCCGCGCTGGGCGCTTCGAGGCGGCAGTCGTTTTCTCTTTCTCCCTTCGGCGAGGCGCTGCAGCGCGTTCAGATGCCGCGTCGCGACTCGGGCCCAGCTAAGTGCGTGGCGCGCGTCTTCTTTCATTTCGTTGCCGTGGAAGTACTCGAGGACGGATGCGATGTCATCGATGGCGACCAGCGGTGCCAGTTCGACGGCACGATCCGCCTTCTCCAAGAACTGTTTGGGGGCAGATGCCACTCGGTGCCGCGTCTTCGACGCCGAGGAGGTCCCGGAACAAGCGGATTTAACGGATTATGAAGCAACATCGGACAGGTACGCGTTTAGCTCTTTCTTGCAGCCTTTGCGCGACGCCGAGGAGGCGTTTGAGTCGGGAAAAAAGCTCGCCGCATTCACTGGACATTGAGGCATTGGTCGACAGGCGTGCTTTTGTTGCATATTTGCAGCGCCTCTACGGCGCCAGGGGAGCTTCTGGCGCTGGGGAGGCTTCTCATTATTCAAGCGACCCCGATCCAAATGTCGAAGCTTTTGATGCACTGCCGCACGGTGATGGCCTGCTTCGTCCTCGGCCGATCCACGCCCGCGATGTCGTTGCCGTCCTCGACGTCGCTGGTTCTGATGGAGAGAGCACCGGGTGCGGAGACGCCATTGCGGAATGCAGTGCCGACGAACAATCTTCGACGGCGCGATCCGCTGTTACGCAGGGCGGCATGGATTCGGGCGAATCGCATTCCGCGGAGGCCTAGCGGCGGATTCTCAACAAGCGGTAGCCGGAGAAGTTCAGGCGTCTCCAGGTGCTTCCAGGGCCCGCGTCTGTGGATGACGTGGGGCCCTCGGAATCCGACGCAAGGCCGCGGTGTCGCAAGTGATTAACAAGACGAACACATTGATGCAGGCGTGGGGCCCGCAGCCAGCGGGCCTTGAATACTTCTGCTTAAGAAAAAATACGATGTGCGTCATGGGCCCTCTGCGCCGGAACCTTGCCGACGACCTCCTCATTGCGCGCGCCGCTGCCGTTGCGCGCGACGGCGCCGTTTCGCGCCCAGACGGCGTCTCTTTGTGCCGACAGGGGCCATTCGGGCGAGTGGGGGATCTTGCCGCGGTGTACATGCGCAACGTTGAGCCGGCGTTGTCCTTGACGCAAGTCGTTCATCGTCCACAGGCAGGCCCCTCGCGCCTTAGTGGGCGTGGCTCAGGTCCTGGAGGGCGATGTGGGAAATTGGGAAGCAGCTCAACCTGTGTGCTCCTCAGATCTACAAATAAAGGAAGATCAAATTACCGGCTGCGCCCCCGACGCCCGCAAGGGGCGCCAGCGAATCTTATGTCGCTTCACGGGCAAGGGTCAATCTGAGAAGCTTGTGGATCTACTCGGCTCTTGGCTTCGCGCCCCCAAGCCAGACCCGCCCTTTGTTTCCGTTGCGCGCGAAGACTGCGCCGCTACGATTGAGAGCGGCGCTGAGCGACTCGCAGACGGGATCGCGCAGATCCCAAATGCGAGGGGGAACTAATGCTATTTTGGAAGTCCAATCCGTATCGTACCGGAGCCAGGTCAAGACGTCGTGGATGAGCTTGCTCTTTTCCAAGCATCATCCTTTTTCTGGTAACGAGCCTGGGCTCGAGGTTGACCTCGCGATGGTGGCGCTGGCGTGGCCGTGGTATCCGATACCGCCTGTCGTGGTCATGCTGACGGGGAACGGCGGCAATTCCGAGCCCGTCAGAACAGTGGCGTGGAATAGCGTGTTCGGCGGGCATCATGCTGTCCTCACGACAGACGCATTCCAGGATCGGCAGGGATTCAGGGAAGGAGGTGGGCAGCTTGCTTGCGCGAAGAGCCTCGCTGTCCAAAAACGCGCGGCTGGCATTGCATTGTTGGAAGAAGTTCGAAAAACGTTTGTCTCCGGGGAATTCGTGCTTGCAGGCTTTTCTTCGGTAAGACTGCCCAGTGCTATCGGTGGCTGGCTCGCGCCAAGTATCGGGGGGCGAACGGGCAATGTTCGCGGCGACGGGCGTTGCAAGCAGTTCTGCGAACTCCGTTCTGTGTTGCGACGGCTCAGGGTCGTTGTTCTCGGACCATTTTCCATTGGCAGCGTTGGGCCGATCAATGTCGACTGCGCAGACTTGATGGCTTTCGTGGAGGGCGGCCAAACCCGCGTCGCTGATATCAAGTTCTCGCGTGGCAGTTCAGCCAGGAGTACGCTGCCAGCCGCTGCCGCCAGATGCTGCTGGACCCATAAGCGTCGATTGCGCAGGGAACTCGGAGGGTCGTTGCCCGCTCGCATGGCCCATGGCGGCCTAGAGATGCCAGCAGAGTTTACGGGCTCAGCTGGAGACTTCGAGAGGGGGTGCGATGTCGGAGCAATCGTCGTTGCTGCCGGTCGAGGAGGAGCTGGCAAGACAACGTGGAAGATGTGCCGGGCCATCGCGCTGTTGGACAGCGTGTCTGGTGCATTCAGGCATGGAGTGAAAATGAAGGCGACCCGGCTGGACAATCTCATGGCGTCCGTCGGCGCGTGGCCTCGCCCCGTTGAAGTGCAGGGGCAGTCCAGAGAACCACTGCGTGAAATGTACAATGACCACGCAGTTTCTGTTCCTCGTGGTCCGCGCGGGGCAGGGGCGGGAATGGGGGCAATGCGTTCGCGGGCCTGGAACCCTCCGTCGGGGGCGGCATGGGCGTCGGTGGGGGCTTGGCGGAAGGCCGCGGAAGGCCGCGGAATTCCGATGGCACGAAGCCGGTCCGCTTCCCGTCGCGCCCCGCGAGGTGGAAGTCAGGCGGGGGGTTGGGGAAGGTGATGGAAGCGAGAGGGATTGCATGTGGCGCGGGCTCCCACCGCCCCCCATGTCACATCGACGCCTCGTGTGCAATGTGATTGCGTGCGCGCGCTGCGCGCGCGCTCGCGAGCGAGCTGGCGCGCTTGCTGCGATTGTTATACGGTTCGTTGCGGGCGCCCGCGGGGGCTGCACTTCCTCGGCCTCAACTACGACAAGTTCTCCGAGATCATGGGCAAGCGCGACGCATTCGTGCTCGGCGGGGGCGTCCAGAAATGGCATCGGCGCGGGGGCGCAGACGCGCGCGCCCGCCACTGGCCCCCCCGGCGCCAGAGCCAGCAGGCGGCGGCACATTGGATGGAGAACGCAAAATTGCATGAGAAGTCGATGGGCAAATCCCACCAGCCCTCTGGGCGTAGGTGGTCTAAGGCGTTTCCTCTTCCACCCCTCCCGCGCCCCCTTCGGGGAGGGGTTCGCCTTCCTCCCGCCCCCCCCCTGGGCTTCGGCGAGGGGTTTCGCGAGGGGTTGGAGCGCTCCGAACGGCTTCGGCGAGGAAGCCAAACTCATTGGTTTCACTAAGGTTTTGGGCCCATGTTGGGGTCTTTTTTGGGGGGTGGGGGTGGCGATTGAAGTTCCCTTCTCGTTTGATCGGTCTCCTTCTAGATGGCCCCGAGAACGCCCCCAAGGCGCCCGGGGGTGCTCCGAGAGGGCCACGAGAGGTAGCCGGGGGGCCGCAGGGGCCCCCCAAGAGGCCCCCAGGATGCCCCCAATAAGCTCCCAAGAGACTTCCAAGAGGCCCCAAGAGGCGCCCCGGAGGCACCTAGGGCGCCCTGAGATGCTTCGGCGGCGCTGCCGACAGCATAGGTTTTACTAAGGTTTTGACCACATTTTGGCTTCCGGGGGCAAGGTGGGGAGGGGGGGGGGCGCTGCTCAAGATGGCTCCGAGAGCGCCAGGGGGGGCCCAAGATGACCTCCAAGACGGATCAAGATACCCCAAGATGCCTCAAGATGGCTCCCGCGATGCCCTGGAGGCCCAAAAACCGTTCGAAGACGACTCCAAGTGGCCAGAGAGTTCCCCCTGGAGGTCCCGAAGAGGCCAACCTCCTTCCAACGCCTTGGGGCAATCAATGTTTGCGGCTTTCTCGCCTCGTCGCTTCCGATGGCCATCCGAGGCTTCGAGATGGCTCCGCGATGGCCCAGGGGGGCTCCAAGAGCGCTCCCGAGGCCCCCAAAAGCGTTTTAAGAGGGGCCCAAAAGGCGCCCTGGAGACCTGGGGAGGCCCCGACAGGCGCCCAAGAGGCCTCCAAGAGGCCCCCACGGGGCCCCCAAGAGGCCCGAGGCAACCAATGCGCTCTAAGAGGCGTCCAGGACCGCCAGGAGGCCCCCGAGACGCTCCAAGAGGCCTCCGCGGGGGGGCCTTGTTTTTTTTTCGCGCTGCCCACTCCGCTGATCGAGGCAATGCTTTTGAGCGTCGTTTCTGGATGGGCTGGCGGGATCACGCGAAGCGTCTAGAATAGCTTAACGTCACCGCGCTCGCCGAGGCCTCAGAGGAGGAGGCCTTCTCTTCCAATGTGTCGCAGATATGGCGGCTCATGGAGTGCTACCGCGCGCGTGGCCGCAGAGTCGGCGATTTCGGTGTGATGACATTTGATTATTACAGCGCGCGCGGTATGCCGGGCAGACGGCGCGCGGCAGGGCCGTCAATGCAGTCGCACGTGAGCAAGGGCGCTGTATTATGCCGTGGTGGCCGGCATCGCGTCGTCGGCGGGGGGCGACGTGATTCTTGTAGACGCGGATCTGAACAACTGCTATCCCGCAGTCCTGGTTGATCGATCTACTCGGAGGGGCCGTGGCAGACTTAGTTGGGCTTGAAGTAGTCATCAGCTTCACCGACGCATGCAGGCAGCGGCCGGGGTTTCTGATGCAGTGCTGCGACGTATCTTTGAAAGCATGTAAGAATATGATAATTCGATTGGCCCTTTTGGGTGAGCTGTCCAATGACATTCCGTTTCTGTGGAATCTCTCAGTCTGGATTCACGCGGTTGTGGATATCGCGCTGGACATGCTGCGTCTCGAATATTTGAGGCGCCGCTTCCCTGATAGGTCAGGCCCTCGCGCGCCCCGCCTCCGCTCCGCGTTGGCGGCCGCGGGGGGGGATATCATGAACGACTTCGTTGGCGGTTTGACAGGAAACGCGCCAGGTTGCGATGTGAATGCCCCCGCGCTGGGTGAGGTCACCCAGCGGCTTCGACGGTCCAGTTCGGGCGCCCTGACCATGCATTTGGACGCCGTGGGGCCCAGGCGCGACGCGTCGTTCTCGACGGACTTCTGCGACGGACTTGGCGGGGCTGCCGGCGAGGACTGCGCGGCGAAGTTGAAGCGGCGCGCGTCCTGCGGCTGTTCCTTGAAGGCGCCAGACAAGAAAGCCGAGTCACCATCTTGCGCAGTGA